TTGGTTTGGTTTGGTTTGGTTTGGTTTGGTTTGGTTTGGTTTGGTTTTTCAAGAGGGTTTCTGTGGTAGTCTTAGATATCCTGGAACTCATTCTGTAGACCTGGCTGACTCCAAAGATCTGCCTGGCCCTGCCTCTGAAGTATTGGGATTAAAGGTGTATGTCACCACCACCCAGTGACAGCTGACATTTTCCACATGCTGAATTTCCCCTCTACTGTCAATCTGCAGTGAGTAGAGTCAGAGCTGAACCCACCTCCCAGTGCAGTGATTATGTCATCACATAATTTAGCTCAGAACTCCTAAAGACTTCTGTTATAACTGAGAACATGGGGCAGAGGACAGGAGCCCTGCCCAGCACCCACCTCCCACCTTCCCACACCCACAAACTGAATCCCAAATCCAAAATTGCCCTCTGTCTACACTGTGGCCAGCCCACATCACTCTGCCTTTGGATTGATACAGCTCCCAGCTTCCACCTTCCCCTCCTGTATCCTAGCACTGGTTAGCTTAACATCGTCCAAGGATGCTTAGATTGAACACCTTGACCTTTGAGGCCCTGCAGAGTTGGGTGGCTGCCTCTGTTCCCAGCCTTTCCTCACTAAACCCCTTGCTGTCTGTGTCTGACTTGGCTGCCTTCTGCTTCTAGAGTAGTACAAACTTCATCAAAACGACAGCTTTTCTGCCTTTCTCGCAGCCACAGATATCTGCTTTTGCCTCAGCGAGTCTCAGCTGAGTCACACTTTCCTTCTCCGTATTTTTTTTTTAATTTTTGAGATACAATTTAATTAAAACATTTCTCTTTTCCCTCTCCCCCCTCCAAACTCTCCCTTAAACCAACTCCTCTCATTCTCCTTCAAATTCATGGCTGATTTTATTCACTAATTGTTATTCCATGCATATATGCATATGTGTGTATACATATCTGTATACGTATATATAAAACTTATATGTTCCTAAATATTTCCTGTTCAATCTGTATAATGTTACTTGTATGTATGTTTTCAGGGCAGTTTTATAGATGATGTTTTCCAGACTAGTGAAAGTCTTGCCTTCAACCCTCCCTGTGACACAATGTCACCCTTTTCATGGCCCACAATCACATGCCATGTGAACCTGGCACTCAGAGGATAGCTTGTAGGAACTGGTTGTGTCCTTCAACCATGTGGGCTCTGGGAATCACACTCCAGTCAATAAGCTTAGCAGCAGGTGCTTTAACACAGTGGACTGTCTCACCTAGCTTCCCAATTTTTAAAAAGAAGAGTCTCATGAAAATTGGGCCTATAACTTGCCACTGAAATGTGCTACTAGAGAATAAAGACTTCCTAAATGTTATGGTTATCTTTTTTCTGATCTTCTAGAAAGGAATTCACAATCCTATGGGGAGTTTAGTTTGCTGACTGGCATAGGACAGAGAGGCCAGCACCAGGAAGAAGACTCCTGTTGGCCACTTAAGGACTCTCTTAACTTTGAGAGTCCTCAGTTGCTCAGGTTCTGCCTGGCCTGTACATTTTCAGCTCTCTGGGGATGATCTGCATTCAGGTGTGTATTGGCCACCGAACACTGCCTCTCTTCTCTGTCTTCTCCCTCTGTTTCTATACTAAGGTCAGGGTTACTAGGTTTGTTTTCTTTTCTTTGCCTCCTAATCTCCCCCAACCCCCTTCCTGGGGTTTCTCATGGGAGAGAAATTCAATAAGAGAAACCCTTTAGCAATTCATCTTAAATTCTGAAGGGGAGTAAGAAGAAAGCAGACCCAAGTCAATCTCCTCCCATCATTCCTCACTCCCTACCAGGGGAGATGCCTTTTGAGACTAAAAGGTCATATGGTTACACACAGCCCAGACTACAGAGGCATGCTCTTAATTGGTCTTCCTGCCTCCCACTTTTTTCTGTAATACTCTTTTTAGCCCAGTCTGACACAGAACAAGGGGAGGAAGGAACAGGTATTGTTACTATCCTACTGGAAGCTGGGTACACCCCCTGCAGTATCTTATTTGGCTTTTTGGTAACAGTCCTGTGCATTTGCCATTGTCAACCACGTTACTTTTTTTTAATGAGAAACTCGGAGGACAGACCAGCTTAGGCAACAGCAGGGTTGGAGGAGCCATACAGGACTAGAGGCAGAGACTAGATTTGAGCCCAAATCCATCTGAATCCTTCCACAAGATGAAGCGAATCCCTGTGGTCACTCACGGCTTCCATCACACCCTCCCTCTCCAACCAGAGCACGAGGTGGAAGACCTGAGCCGCTCTCTACCTCCCCTATGTCACAACACTTATTGTATGCTTATTGTATCGTACTCAGCAGGAATGATCGGGGTCTGGCACCACAAGTGGACAGAGCAGCTCTAGCCCACTGAGTGCTTATTATGCAGGTACAACTGTAATTGCTTTTCATATATGTGAATGTTCATTAATTTGTCACAGCACATTTGAATAAACTTTTCCTATTTCAGTTTATAGATGAGGCCACTAGAGCATTTTAATAATAATAAATAATAATAATAATAATAAATAAAAGCCCAAGATTACCCAGCTGTGAGTGATAATTCAGAAAATTAAACCTGGGCAATCAGCAGCCAGAGCCAGGGTTCCTAAGGACTGTAAAATACTAGAAGAGAGTATCCCTCTAAGTCTTGGGGTACTTGTTACATCAGCAGCTCCTGGTTTGCAATGTTAAACAGTACCAAGGTGCAAAAGAAAAGCCCATTGACCAGAAACTGTAAGTACTTTAACTGGTGATACTTCCCTGGACCAGCCACACGCAGGATGATCCTGGATGGAGCTGCCAGACAGCAGCAGTCAGCTGCAGCACTCAGTCAGTGAGCCATGGGATCACAAACATCCCAAACTCCACAGTGCTGTGCTGGTGAGCTGCCATCCCAGCAGGGAAGGTATCATCCAGGCATGGGTTTATGATTGCATGTCAACAACTATCTGTAAGCTTTATGCCATGTAAAATTGAATTAAACTTTAAAATCAAGAGAACCTGGGTGGGTGTAATAGTACACACCTGTAGTCCTAGCTACTTGGGAAGCTGAGGCAGGAGACTCACTTTAACCCAGGAATTATGGGCTATAATATAGCACTCCCCCAATGGTCCCTGTTTCAGCTCCTGCCTCCAGGTTCTTGCCTTGAGTTCCTGCCCTGACTTCCCTCAGTGGGGAGAATAAGTCATAAGATAAAATAAACCCTCTCTTCCCCCAAGATGCTTTTGGTTGTGTTTTATCACAGCAGTAGAAACCCTAGCTAAGAAATGGTCTATGCACAGTAGAGTCAAGAAAGGGATCAACAACACATCAAATAATAATTTCCCAAAATATATAGGGCTTAAGAAAAGTACTTTTACTTCTCCTATATGGTCAAGAAGAAGTCACAATGATATTATAAAATATTTTAACTAAATGATAGTTAAGTAATTAAAATATTTATTTATTGCATATATATGTAGCATGTGTGTGTGCATGTGCATGCATGAGCTTGAGCTTTCATGACACAGTGCAAATGTGAAGGTCAGAAGACAACTTTTAAGAGTTGATTCTCTCCATCCATCCAGGGATCAAATATAGGAAATCAGAATGAGAATGGTCCCCACGGTCTCATATGTTTAAATACTCATCACTCACACACACACACACACACACACCTGCTGCCATGGTGGAATTGTTTGGAAAGGATTTGGAGGTGTGGTCTTATTGGAAGAAGTGTGTCACTGGAGACAGGCTTTGAGCTTTCAGAAGACTCATACCATTCCCACTGTGCTCTCTGCCTCCTGTTTGCGGTTGGACAGTGAGCTCTCTGCAGCTCATCCACCTGCCATGATAGCATCACTTCTTCATAAGCTCTAACTTCCTGAAGCTGTAAGCCTAAGTAAACTCCCTTTTTAAGTAAGTTGCCTTGGTCTTGGTATTTTACTCAGCAATAAAATAGTAAATAACACATCAGGTTTGGCAGTGAGTGTCCTGACCCAGTGAGCACTTTGCCAACCCTTGAACTAGATGACAGTTAAAACACATTTTAAAACTTATGGGACTCAGAAGTGTAGTTTAGGTGGAACATATCCTAATGCATACATTGGAAAATAAATCCCCCAAATAAATTACTAGATGATGCCGGGCATAGGGGTGCACACCTTTAATCCCAGTACTCAGGAGACAGAGGCACACATATCCCTGTGAATTCAAGATCAGCCAGATTGACAGAACTAGTTCAAGGACAGCCAAGGCCACACAGAGAAACCCTTCCTTGAAAAAAACAATATATATAATAAAATATGATGGGCAGTGGTGGTACACACCTTTAATCCCACCACTTGGGAGGCAGAGGCAGGCGGATTTCTGAGTTCAAGTGGCCTGGTCTAAAGGGTGAGTTCCAGGACAGCCAGGGCTACACAGAGAAACCCTGTCTCGAAAAACCAATAAATATATATCTCATATATATATACATAATAAAATACGATATATATTAGTAGTACCATGTCAAGAAGCTTTTCAAATAAAAAATTAAATATCAAAAAATACAACCAAGAGAATAGTGATATACTTGTTCTGACCCAAAAGGCTGGGAAAAGACCAGCAAGGGAAGCTAAAGGTGAATACAGAAATTAAGGAAACAGAAGGCATTCTGTCAGATGATTAGAAAACTGGACCAAATCAACTGCTTCCTGCTGTTCCTGCAGGCTGCCTGCGACTCACAGCTGCTCCTTTGTGTCTCAGGAGAAAGAAGCCATGGTCTCTGCCCCTCCTCCATCCCTCCATCCTCTACCACAGGAACAGCAGAAACACTACATCCTAAAGGCTCCCATCCATGGGGCTCACTGGAGCTGGACTCCTCCTGAAGACTCACACTGTGTGTTCTTTCCCCTTTCCTATCCTACGATCCCACTCACTTGTGGAGCTTTCCACAGTGTGCTCCCCAAGTTAGCTACACCCAAAGTCCCTGCTTTGGGCTAGCTTCTTAGAAAATGTGTTAGAAAGCTAAAACTAAACAAACCTAAATGATAGATAAATAAGCAAGCAAGCAAATATAAATGTAAAAGTAAATGAAGGACAACAGAATGCCATGCATCATCAGTATTGGAAAGGTATCAACTCCCTCAAACTGACCAATAGATCCAATGCAACCCCAATCAAAGTTCCTGATTTTTTTTTTTTTTATAAATTGTCAAGAGTATTTCAAACTATGCACCACCAGCCAGGTGGTGGTGGTGCATGCCTTTAATCCCAGCAGAGTGGGGGTGGGGGGTAGAGGCAGGTGGATCTTTGTGAGTTGGAGGCCAATGTGGTCTACAGAGTGAGTTCTAGGACAGCCAGAGTTAAACAGAGAAATGGTGTCTCAGGAAAAAAAAAGCCAAGGCAAGAATAGAAAGATGGCTCAAAAAGCATTTGTTGCTCTTGTAAGAGGACCTGGGTTCAGTTCCCACTATCCTTATGATGGCTCACAACCATCCATAGCCATAACAGGATGGATCTATAGATGGTGGTGTGTGCATTATAACTGAATACCATATAACAATTATACTATATAACAACAGAAATGACCAAATTACAGTTTTTCACATGCAGAATAAAGTCTCATAAGTAGAATGTTAGGTGAGAAAAGTAAGTAGAATGTAATTTATGTAATAATACTTGTATATAAAGAAGCTCAAACAGAACTACTCCTTAGAGACACACACATAAGCAGTATCATAACTGCAAAGAAACACATAGATGTGGCTACCTTCCCCTAGAAGCCCAGGGAGTTTTCTTAAGAAAATTTCAGAAAATTCTGTAATGGTTTACCGCACAAAACATTTCAGAAATAAACAGATTAAAATATCCCTATGATGTCTTATTGCATCAAATAATTTAAAATTTCTGCCTGTATCTCCTCTAAAACTTTCCTCAAACTCATGTGCTGAACAGTCATTTGCTCATATTTATTGTGTGTATGTGACTATAAACAACTGAATCAGGCCTGGAAAAAAACTGTAAACTTAGGGTAATAAGCCAGATGTAGTGGCTCATGGTATAACCCCAGAAATCTGGGAGCTTGTGACAAGAGGATTGTCATTTGTTGGAAACCAGCCTGTGCTACACAGTGTGAGTTCAAGTGTAGTCTGGGCTATGAAATGAAACCTATCTCAAAAAATAATAATGATAATAATGATAACAGGAGGATTGCACAATAAACATTTTAGACTCATCTTGTTTCATTTTCTTGAAAAGGTTGATGTCTATACCTGGAGTACTATGTAACATCATTTTCTTTAGAATCTTCCTTATGATAAAATAATGTAAGAGCTATGGCTGGTCTTCATAAAGCTGAAACATGTATAAAATTTTATTTTCAATTCAAAATGAATAATTACCATGGTAAAGCTATATCCAATGAGTTTTAAAATTATAAAATGTGTGTTCACTTTAGCAACACATGTATATAAAAGATATATAAAATATAATATAAATATATACAGTTCATTTGTGGGGGGATAAAACTTTCACTTAATTGGCTCCTCTGTTAGAGCAGACACTTGTGCCTTTGGTAGTAAATTGACCAAGCCTAGAACAACTCGGGAACATATGAAACTCATTAAAGAAATGAGCCCTATTCATAAATGCCTGGATATAGAAACAGCCTGGACACAGAGTAAGAGGAATGAGAGACTCACCTTTAGCAAAGGATAATTGATAGTCGCTACCCACATGTTAGTAAATGGAGCTTCTAAGACAATGGCATCAGCCGGACATCCTAGAAAACAAAACAAAAAAAAACAAGAAACAAAACAAACTAACAAACAAAAATGAATTAACCCTCATCTTCAAATACCAAAACACCACCTGCCCTAGATAAGGGGGGTCTTCAAGGTCTTGTGCATGAACTGCCTACATCCAAACCATTTGTGAAATGTTTCAATATGCAAGCTCTTGAACCCCACAGAGTACCTGGAGTAAGGGCTAAGAATGTGTGTGTGCATGCATGTGCACATGTGCATGTTCATGTGGGTGCACATGTATATGCAAGCATGCATGCACATGTATACACATGACTATAGAAGCCAGAGGTCAAGCTCAGATGTAGGTCATCAGGAACCATCCATCTTGTTTACTGAGACAGGGTCAGTCATTGGTCTGGTGTGTGCTGGTGAGGCTAAGTTGGCTCACCAGTGAACTCTAGTAATCCTTCTGCCTCTGCTTCCCCAGTGATGGGATTAGAGGTGTACTATTACAGTGGACATGGTGGCTTGGACATTTGATCCCAGTCTATGTGAGACTGGGGCACCAATCTCTGTGAGTGGTATCCAGTTTGGTATACATAGTGAGCCCCTGTCTCAATAAATCAGTAAATTAATATCCCATGATCACACCACCATGCCTTGCTTTTTCACAGAAGTTCAGGGGATAGAACTCATGTCTAAATTGAGCATAGCAAGGGCTTTACTGAAGCTATACTAAGGTACCACTCCAACTCAAGAATATAGTTTTTAACAAGCCCTCTCCTTCTTGAGTATCTCTATGTACA